GACGAAATTTGATGTTTGTTGTTGGAAATTTTGTCGTTGTGAAAATGAACGATTATGCGGGTTTGTACGAGGAGCTTTAGATGTTTGTGATCTATTTACATAGTTATAATTGTGTTCTGCAAAATTACTTCTGGTGAAAATTCTTTGTTTTTGTGGTGGTTTTGTCATTGATCTAAATGTTTGGTAATCCATATGTGAATATTTTGAAGCAACCGAGGGTTTAACCGTAGACTGCAATGTTACTTGAGGTAATATTGAAGTCTTTGGTTTTGGCTTTGTAAGCTTTGGATGTATTGGTGAAATACTTTGCTGTGTAGTTGTTACAATTGTTTCAACTATTTCTTCATTTATAAAATGTGATGGCGTTTGAATATCTTGTTGTGTAAGATTTCTAGTTCCATTTAAGTTTTCTTGTTGTACAAAAGTTGAATTTAAACTATTATTTTGTCTTCTATCAGGTGAAAATTAATTTTAGTTTAAGGGTGTTGCATCTGTTGTCAGTGGTATTATTTTTTATGTAGTCTTTGTGAGTAGTTATTGTACTGATTGCTTGACTTGAGATGTCTATTGGAATATTCAGAAATAATGTATGAGACCATTCACGGTCCCAAACGTAATCTGATTGTTCGGCAATGACAGTGTCGTCATTTGTACTCTGCGGTCTAAAATTTTTTCTTGCTTGTGCAATTAAATCTATATTGTGGGAAAAATAGTCTATTATAAACCATGCTAAGATTTTTTGTAAATCATGTTTTACATTTAGTGAAGTTTCGTTATTTGAAAAATTTTCACGGATTGTGTTTAAAAATGCTGAGAATGCGGCAATTTTGTTTCTTACCTTTGTGTGTCTTGATGTTTGAACTGGTGATGTGCTTTCGGTTTCTTTCTTTTCTAGCATAGATAAATAATTATATATTATTGTAAAAACATCGTTAGTGAAAATTGAGTTTGCTCTCTGTGAATTTTGATGTTGTATATTTTTGATGTATTCTGTGAATACTTTTGAAAATTCTATATCGACATCATCTGTTTGGATAACATATTTGCTATGAAAGTTTCTTGTTGTACTATGAGTTCTATGGTGTAAATTACATATTGTTGTGTTAAGTTACATATTCTTTTTATGTAATGGTCGACAATTTGTCTTTTGATTTTTATTTCTGGGAATTCTGCTTTACATGGGCTAATTCCTTGTTCAAATATTTTTGCGATTAGGTTATGACAAAATTGTGTTTGTCTTCTGTCGTCAGTAAGTGAAATGATGATGAATGGGAAAACCGAATCTTCGTCTGGACTTTCGTCACTTGGGCTTATACTCATTTTTTCGTTTTATGACTGTCAGTGCGTAATGTTCAATGTGTCTGATTGGTTGGTTCCAACTGTATAAACGTACTGGTTTATTTTTGTATATCTTTTTTATTCTTTTTTTCCCTTGTTTTGATGAATGTGATGTAGCTTCTGAATCGGAAAAAAATAATTGATCATGAACTGGGTAATTTTTATTTACTGTCTCTTTTAGTTTGTAGAGTGCACCTAAATCGCTGACTTCTGATTCGAAGACTGCGTTTCTACGCTTTGAAAATCTTTTTCGTGTAATTTGTCTTTGCTTGCTTAAAATTTTTTTTTATTGTTTGACGTTTTGTGCGAATATATCCGATTGTTTGTTTATGCGGTGTAATTACAAGATCGTATGCTTCATTATTTATTTCACAATTGTGTAGTACGATTGTTTGTTTTTTTCCTAAATTGTTCAGTGACATAAGGTTTAGGATGAGGGTTGCAAGGGTTGTTATTAGTAATTTTAAAATCCTAGACTGTTGGTCCTTACAATTTTTTGGCTAGCCTAACTTGGGGTTTTTATATAGGGTTGGAGAGAAAAGTATATATCGATTCCGAAGAAAGATTTTTACTTCCTCGTGGCTATTATAAGTTAAGGTGTTAACTTACTTAATCTTACTTAGGGGTAGTGATTGTGTTCAAGGGTTGGAGAAAAGTAGATCGATCCACAAGGTTCAGGTTTAATTAGAACACAAGTAGTTCGATAGATACTATTTTAATACTTACTAAGACTTAAGATTTAGCCTGGGTCAGGTAAGAGGGGGGATTAAGTGAAGGATGAAATAACCGAAGTTCTTCACTGTTTAGCTTAATTTGAATGGTTAATGTGATTGAACAATTTCTATTAGTCTTGGGTCTTTGAAAGGGTTGGGTAGTGAATTGACGTTTGAGGTCGTTAGACACTTTTTTTATTGGATGGGGAGAACAAAATTGTTCTATTTGATCCAAGGATAGGCCTTGATGATCAGGTTATAATTTTTGATGGTATAAATTGGATTTAATTTAATTATTTAATGGAGATCCAAGGAAAGCCTTGATGATCTGGTTTAAGATTGAAGAAATTGAGATGAAAGAAGGATAAAAAATTAGATAAAGTTTTAAAGATAACTTAAATTTATTTGATGAAAATTTTAGTGTTTGATGATATTAGAGTTTTAAATGTTTGCTATTATGTTTAGGCGATGAAGCGGGGGATGCCAGGATGATTTATATATATTAACAGTTTATGATCATGTCAACTAATTTTTATTTTTTATTTTTAATAAATATAATTTTCAGATACCTTTTTCAATTTTACTGCAGATTTAGAGGGAACGATTTGAGATGTTTTTATAAATCGTTATTGTACAATAGTAAATAGGATTTAGCGCCTGTAATATTCATGAAGATTTTTCTTCAAGGTTTCGATGTTTGCAAATGAAAATCTAAATTCTCTGCTATTAAAATCCTAAATGTAAAAGATTGGTCTGGATTTCGTTGTACGACCATACTACTTAATGGTAAGTTTCTTCGTAGTCGCAGATCGTCTCTTGTCCGAGATCTTCTTCCAATGCCTGGTAGTTCTATTATTGTGCGGAATAGCGGTTCTGATCTATTGAGTCGTAGAGACACTTCAATTAGATTATTATCGTGTAACATTTTTGAAAATGTATTTGTCTAATTCTTATATATCTGTTAGTTCTAAGCTAATTTGTTTTTTTTAAGGTCTTGATCGAGACTTATGGTCGCACCAGATGAGTTAAGTTCTATGTGTAACTCATAGAGTAATTTCGGATAGGGTACACCGTCTGCTCGTCACGCTATCTTATTTTCGGCCGGATAGATTCGTGCAACGTCTTAGTCCAATACCGATCCTAATCTTACTCTTATATCTACTAGTCTCAGGGTGTTTAACTAGTCTCTGCTAGGCTCAATAGATCTAGAGTATACTGGCTTATTGCGATTGCTAAAGTTCTCTGGGAGAGGTAACTAATTTCTAAGTTAACTTCAAATCTCTCTGGTGCTGAAATTACAAGAAATTTCAGCACTTACAATTAAGTGGATTGTTAGTTAGATGGATCGTGATTGGTTAATATTAAATATTTTATAGAGATCAAATATCCAATGTATAACCAAAGAATAAATATAGTTTATATCTGGTTCCATTAGTGAACGCACGGAAAAGACTAAAAGTTAGCGTAAAGCTTGCTACCCGAGTCGAGATTTTTCACCTAATTTGAAGCAAGATTTGAGCGGTTTGAGCGGTTTTTTTAGACAATTACGCTCAAAATCATGCTTCAAAATGAGCGGTTTGAGCGGTTTTTGAACGGTTTATCTAAAAAAACCGCTCAAAAACCGCGCAAGATTTAATAATAAAAAGCCGACCACAGAGGGATTCGAACCCGCAACCTTCTGATTCGAAGGCAGAGGCCTTATCCGTTAGGCCATGATGCCCTGATATTCAGCTGAGCGAAGCCAATATAAATTACGCACCACAATGAATACTGAATACTCTGCATTCTAATTCGTGCTTTTATAAACTACACTACTATTACTATTCCATCTAAGTTGCGTCTATATCTTCCTGTTTCAATTAATCTCCGGGCTCTTTTTCCTTTCCCCCACCCCCCCCCCCCACCTCACACCAGTTTCGAACCATCTCCGCTTCAACTCCTTCTTCTTCCCACCAAAGGGGAAGCCCCCCCCCCCTAAATCCGCCCCTGCTCTTGCGTATACATTACGTGAATTAAGTAACAGTGACACTATTCGTTATGCAGAGAAGTGAAACGTTGAGTCTGGGACCTCGACCCGGGAAGACCGCTCAAAAACCGCTCAAATCTTGCTTGAAAAACCGTTCAAAAATCACCGCAAGAAATGAGCGGTTTTTGAGCGGTTTTTTAAGCAATATTTGAGCGGTTTGAGCGGTTTTTCCAAAAAAACCGCCCAAACCGCCCAAACCGCTAAAACCGCTCAAATCTTGCTGGAAAACCGCTCAAACCGCTCAAATCTTGAGCGGTTTTTGATCGGGATCTCGACCCGGGTAGTGGTTGTGTTTCTCGCCTGTTATTCTGAAATTGATTTTTTTTCCAACGCAAGTGACGCGAAGCTCCGTTTTGCCTCTGCGTTTGCATTTTCAGTTCCCTCCAGGACATAGTGCAATTAATTTTTTATAGGAATGTCAGAACTTGTAAGAATCAATAGAAAAACTAACAACATGTAAGCAAGAATTAAAATCCTATAAGAAACTTACAAGAATCTCATAAGATTTTGAATTCCGATCTAGAAGATGAAGTCTTTGAAAATCTTTTTAGAAATTTTAACGATTCAAGGCTCTTTAAAAAACAATTTTTTGAATTCTGAGTTCTTACAAAATTCATTACTCAGTCAATATATAACAAACAAATTTCCACTAATATTTAAAAATCTTGGTGGATTGTTTTTGTTTCATTATGGCTGGCTAGTTTTGCATCACCTTCAAGAGACAAGCATGGATCACGCGTTGAAATTTTTAAGCCTTGAAGGGTTGTTCGGAAGCTTCCTTCAACAATAATTTTTAAAATCTGCGCTACAATACATGCTCGTTAAAAGGGGGCGTTGGGTTTTAGATATAGGCATGCTTTTCTAAAAAGTCTAAAAAATATTAATGTAACATTAATCATACAATTGTTTTTTTTTGTGCGCAGAAGAGCATTGATTAAATCAGCCGTGAACAAATACGAATACGCTTTGACCTTGACCGCAGGTCGGAACGAGAAGAAATCCAAGCAGATTCAAGACGTGAAGGAACTGATAAACAACATACACGACAGTCATCGCGAACTGGGCGACAAAGTTGCCAAACTGTCCCATTTGTCGGAACACAACTCACGGCACATGTAATTTCTCTTTTAAAAATTTCAGCCATTCTTATCTCAGAATCATTAAATATTCAAAATGTGAAGAGTGTATGCACCAAACATCTCATTTTGTAAAATTTTGTAGGTATTTTGGCCCAATTATGGCCCAATTATGGCCCAAAAATTTGGTTGGTGAAAACATCAAAGATTGTGGGGGAAAATGAGGGCATTTACATCACCATAACTCCGCCTCTATGCCGCAATGTTTCGAAATAAAGTTATGCACAAACTTATTTGGTTCTATTTTACAACCTACATTTTTGTTTGACCAATCCTAAAACTTTTCTGAGACCGCTTTTTTGGCATCAATGTACACAAAATTTGAGAGGCAGCGAGTTCCGAAACAACCGCAATTGTTCAATCGAAGTCTTCCTTAAAAGGCATCATTTGTGGCGTTTCTTTTTTAACTTCGCCTGAATCGCAAAAAAAAATTTTGGCAAAATGGGGCCTTTAAATAAAATTGAGCCAGTTCCTCCCTAGAAAAATTTGGGGTTGTGCTTTTCATACAATTCCATACAATTCCATATAATTCCATAGAATAATAAACTTCGTATAAAAATCACATGATAAGCGTTTTTTATAACAATTGAAATGTAAGATGTGCATTTTTCCATTGTATGGAATTGTATGACAACCATTTTGTCCTTGTAACTTCTTCGCTTTAAGTTTTTTATTTCGCCCTGAATACAAAAAACCAACCAGCTAAGCGGCCTTGAATCGTAGATATAACTACGTATTGCTAGATGCCAAGTCAAAAAAAAAATTGAACTTCACTCAGAATTATAACTCAGATTTAGGTTATATCTTATCATTTCAAATTGAGAGGTACAAACTCTGCGATCACAGAGAGTTATCAAGGTGACCCTTGATTCTTTTATGAAGAAAGCCCATGTGAAATTTAAAAATTTTAGAAATTTTTGTGTGCAAAAAACTTTTGAATTTTTTTGTTCGTGAAACTGATATAGCGACTAAAATGAAAACTTCAGCAATATTCCCTCAGATTTGAAGTTTTTGTAGAGAAAAAATGCTCAGCGTACAATTTTCATAAATGGAAATTGTATGACGAGCAATTTTTGCATAGAACCCATGCGTGGAGTTGTATAAAAAGCATTTTTTACATGGAATTGTATGATAAGCATTTAAGTTGTATCGGGGTCAACACGTGTTGCAAGATGCATCTTTAAGAACTGTCATTTGTCGAGACTTTTTGAACTGCAACTCAAGTCTGGAAGAAGAATTTTTCATAGCAAAGGTTGCCACAGTAAAAATAATTGTGCTTGCTAGTTCGAATGTGTTTGCTATCAAGATGGAACAAGAAAATAAAAAAACAAATTTTCAAGGAACAAATTTTTAAAATAATTAACCACAAAAAATTGCATTGAAAATAATTTTAAAATTTTTATTAAAAACAAGAAAAATGAAGAAAAAAAACTGAAAATTACCTATTTTAAACTTTTTAATTTTTAGCTGCATTCTAAATGAGCCACAATAAGGTATAAACCAAAAATTTTTGGTTTGATAAATGGAATCAGTAAAGAATAAAAAGAGTTACGGGACATAGAATTTTCAATTTACAGCTTTCAGGCAGTTTTTTTCACTTTTGTGCTGTTTTCTTTACAACTGCTACAAATTCACGGTTGAAACTTTAGAATATCATAAACGAAACTAAATTACAGAGCATGGGGATAGTAAGTCATAATTTTTTTCAAGGCGTCATTCGGCTCATTAATAATAGGTCGTCAGAGAGATGTTCTTTTTGCCGAAAAATCCCCGTAAACAGCAGTTTGAATTGTTGGATTGAACGTATTTGTTAGAAAGCTAATGATCTCAGCTAGACCATCTTGTAGGTTTCTTCTCAGATGGAACAGAAAGAAAATTCAGAAATTTGCTTAGTAAATGGCACAATCTGAGTGAAATTTTATTTGGTAACTGAGTGGTTTTTTTGTAATTCTTTTTGAGTAAAAAAACATACAAGACGGTTTAGCTGAGATTCTTAGCATTCCAACAAATATTTTCAAGTCCAACCTTTCATACTGCTCTGATTAAAGCGCCAAACGTCGTCTTCACAAAAAAACATAATACGGTTTTTATCCGGCAAAAATTTTTACAAGAGTTTCATTCACCATATTTCGAAGTTTCAACCGTGAATTTAGGAGTTGTAGAGAAAACAGCAAAAACGTGAAAAATTTTTCGTTCATTTTTCATAGACTTAAACTAAAATTTGCACCTTCTAAGTCCAGTGACTGTAACATAAGAAAACATTTTTGCTACTTCAATTTTTAATTTTGCTTGAATGAAATTAGAAGTTTTCATTGAATCCACTTTTTCCATTTGTTTGTATTAAAGGTCACAAAAAAATTCAAAAGATTCAAAAAATTACAACTATCAGGCTGAAAAGGACCATAAATAAAAGAACTTTTGTTAGCAAAAATTTTTCCTTAGGAAATTTTGCTCCAATGGAAATTTTATCAGAAATAAATTTTTAAACTTACACCTTTTGACACCCTCCATTCATTCATTTTTTTTACAAAATTTTTTTTTTCGTTTTCTCGAGTAGACTTTTTAACCCCGAAACCTAAAAACCAACATAGAAAAGTTTTACATGTTCATCAAAAAAGATCTTAAAGCATGCCCAAGAAAATCGCATTTC